TCGCGATCACCAAGCTTGATGAAGAGCTTCAAAACACCGAGTTGTGGGATAACGTCGAGCTCCGTCGCTCGGTTCTCCACGATGCTCTCCCTAAGCTGCTTCTGAACAAGATCGGCCTGGACACTATCCTTCGGCGTGTACCGGAGAATTATCTGCGGGCTATTTTCGGTAGCTACCTTGCCAGTCGGTTTGTTTACGAGTATGGTAGCAGCCCAAGCCAATTCTCTTTCTTCGATTTGTGAGTGCCCTGTTTTTGACGCTGCCGTGACTTGGCTAACTTGATTGACAGCATGACCAAGCGACTTGCGCAGATTTCCCAGGCGTAAACGTGATTTTTAGACGAATATACATGAGTCTTCCTTGATTCCTCAAAGAGTGCGATGATATGCATCTTCCGGGTTATGCCTGCTGCACATATGCAGTTTGTTATGGATATATTAATTATGAGTGGAAGTCAGCTGTTTTGTGGAATACAGAAAAGCTGTTACGAGCCTAGCCTAATAAAGTGTTTTATTCAACTTCAGGACCTTTGGTCTCTTCCGTTTTTCCATGGATTGATTAATTTCGGTTGTCTTGCCGTAGCATGGGCAGCTTTGAAATTATGTATGGTATGCAAATTATGACCAAGAGCAAGAGAGATCTTGAGATTGATTATTCATTCGGTGTCGCTCAATCGTGTTGCAATGCCCCTTTCTGCCAGTCTTACGAGTCCGTACATGTGACACATCTGCGTGGCACAATGACTGTATATCAAGCAATAGACGCACGGAAGCTCACTCCGGCAGCCATCAATGAACCGCTAAACCGCTCAATCGCATTGTACGCACAAAACCGCTCGCAGAAAGAACTCGCTCTATTGACGTTTAAATGTCGATCTCCTTCATTTCGATGTTGAACTGTGGGCCCTCGTCATGCTCGATGCGTTCGATCTGCTCTAGCTGCGCCCACAGCTCGGGATATTTGGCTCGGGCCCACTTCTCGACCTCACCTTTCCAGTGTTGGTAAGGAATCACGTTGTAGAATTGGCCGATCCTAAAGGGCACGTTAGTCAAACCACGCGGACATAACGACAAGTAAAGCAGCAGACGAGGAATGTATGAGTGTCTAGGGCAGGGGGGGGGGTTCGTTGAACTAACGAGTTGCGGGTCGGCTTGAGGCCAGTCTCGGCCTCCATCTTCTCCAGAGCCTCGGTGGCGAGGTCAAATTCGCAGTGGGCGGCCAGAGCTTTGACATACGCCATGTACAGTTGGCGGTTGCGCTCGATGCCCAGCAACTTGACCTTGTCCATCATCTTGAGGGCTTCCTCAACACCGTTGTTGTGCCTGGCGCATGTCTCGAAAAAGATAGGGATGGTCTTATGGGACGGACCCTCGTCCGACTCCAGGATGCTTCGGAAGACTTTCATTGCCTGCTCCGGCATGTCGCAGGAGGCGTAGGCGAGCATGAGCCCGTCGAGAACGCGCGTGGTTAGGTCGACTTCGACGTCGAGTTTGAGCATGTTGTGCACGAGTTGGAGGTGCTTTGCGGATTGGGTGCGAGCGATGCCGACGAAGCAGCGAGCGTATGTGTCAGGCTTGGGCCGTCGGGCAAAGTCCTCGGCCTGTCGCATGTGGCCGAAAACGAGGTAGGCGAGGTCGCTGCGGTGGCGTTTAAAGAAAGAGGTCATAATATCGGTGCGCGAGCGGACGCCGGTTTCCGGGAAGGCGAGCAGCAGCAGATTATACGTCTCCCAGGCATCGGAGTCCTTTTGCTCGAGGTCCAAGATGAACCCGGTCAGCGAGTTGCGAATCGTCGCCCGTTCTTCCGTGTCATACAGCCCAAGGCGTGGCCGGAGCAGTGCCGAAACGCCCTCCCAGTCGAGTCGGTAGAGGAGCATGCATGTGATCGCTGCCACGGTCCCTGCCTCTAGCCGTACGTTGTTCTCAAACAACGGGTCCAGGAAGGCCGAGATGCGGTCGAATATCGCATCGTCCTGGCCTGATCGGCAGAGAAGTTTGATTAACTTGTTCATTAGTGGCATGTTCGCGGTCGTCATGGCTTCCGGATCCTGCAAATCGTCCATGGAGCGCAATGCCCTCCCAGTATCACCTGCTAGGATGTAGGATTCCAGTTGCAAAAGCTGCGTTCTCGTGTTGGGTTCTAGAGCCCAGTGAGAGGCTAACGCAGCAAATTTGACAGCTAGAGCAGGATCTTGTATCGCGTTTGCGTACTCTATCAGATCATTCACGCATGAGATAGTCAGAGCCTTCCTAATATTCTCGTCGCCCGCCATCATAGTATTGGCCTTCTCTGAGACGGCAGTTGCACTCTGCTTTTGCACTCCTTCCCAGAAGAGGGTGATGCCCAGAGTCTTGCAGACCGGCATGTTGGAAAGTGACTCAAACACCGATGCTGCCCACGCGGTATCGGAGTTCAACGTCGCATATTTGATAACGGCCTCTCTCACTGCCACTGTGGGCGTCTGCCCGTTCGAAAGAGGACATTCATAGATTGTTTTTGTCGCGGTAAACAAGTCCTCTTCGATAAGAAGCTTAACCAGGTCTTCATGAGATCTGTGGTCGAACTCGACGTCGAATTTCTCAAGATTCTCGGCCGTCCGTTCTAAACGGCGCTTCTCACCTACCATAGCAAATCCCTTCATAACTACATGCCAAGGAGTCGGGCGAGCCATCTTCAGCCTAAACCAGAACCGCTCTAGAACGTCGCATGCTTCATCCGGATGGCCATTCAAAGCCTGTATGTTGATATATGCAATGAAAGCCGACCGACTGATATGTTTCATATTGGGTGACGGATCACGGCACAATTCCGAAAAGGCAGCGCGAGCCAATTTTCGCACGATCGGTTGTGATTCAGGTAAACATTTGGCCTGTGATAGGATGAAGAGCATATTTTCGAGGGCCTCAGTCGACAACGTTTTCTGCCATTCCTCGGGGTTCAACTCTTCCGCATGAGTTCGCATGTAATGCCAGGTGACGGAGAGCAGGGTGGCATGGAAGTGCGTGATGACGCTGGGGTATGCAGCGCGTTGCCCCAAAAAGTCGTTCAAGGCATTGGCTAGAATTTCAAAGGTAGGCCCTCTGCTTTTGTCGGCCATTGACCTCATGAGGTCTCTCATAGGCTTTAGGCCAACCTCGGAGGGCAGAGTTGATGACTGCGGGCTAGTCGTTGGGACCACATTGTACGCGAAGAGCCCGCGTCGCTGGCCATGGTAGTTGGTCAAAAGATCGAGCTTGCGAGGCCTATGGTTCCGGACCGTATGCAGTGAGCGATGGAGGCAGCGCGAGAATGAAAGCGGTTCGTTGTTCAAAATTGCCCGAAAAACTCGCCGGGTGAGGTGGGATTGCATTTTGGCGTGGCGGTGCGACGTAGAGCACCTACTAATCAGCAAGAGGGGAGTGAAGGTAGAGATAAGAGCTTGCCAAGCTATTCTGGACCATGGCTTGGAGCAAATAAGTCCGGAATTTGAGGCTGTTGAACAGCTTAAGTTATCGGGATAGATGGATGGCAATGCAAAAGACGCGAAGGAGGAGGGCGGAAGGTCCGATTATTCTCTCGGAGGCGGCTCTTGGCGGTCCTCCCGGAAAGGCGAAAATCGATTTCACCTTCACCTTCACCCTCATTCTCTCCGGTTTGAGACGCAAGCCACAGACTCCAAGTTGCCTTGCCTGTTTACCAATAATGGCCCTCCACCTGTTCTCCTGGTCGCCGCTGCGCACCATCGGCTCAACTTCCAGTGCTACGTCCGCTCGTCGCTGGAACTGGACCGCTGCTTCAAGTGCTGCCGCAACCACTGCGCATGCTTCGATTCTAAATGACCACAACTGTATGTCACCTTACTGCATGATGTTTCTCTCGATTCTGCGTCAGCCTGTAGCTCCCTTCATGCTTGTATCCAGCGGATGTCATCGCTGACTGTCCTTTGTCGCATTGTAGCTTCACTGTCAGCCCGTCGCCGAGCCCGTCGGTTCATCGAACAGCAGAAGGCCGTTAACGAAAGCCGTCCTTTGGAGAAATTTCAGACCCGTGAATGGAAGGCCGGTGATATCTATGCACCTCACGATCTCAGTCCTGCGCAGATGAGAAGGTGGAAAGTGCGCCACTCGCCGTCCACAGATGTCTTCGACTCTCTGAACTTGAATCCCTTAACTATGTACAAGGTATGTGAGACACGGAGTCAACGGTGAGGTCGTGCAGGCATTCTAGAAAATCTTGCTAAGAAAGATTTGCGTCTGACAGAACTTCTCGATCATGTCCGAATACATGACTCCCATGGGCCGGATCAAGCACCGCAATGAGACCGGTCTGCGCCCAGTCAATCAACGGAAAATGGCCAAGGCTATCCGCAGAGCAGTCGGGCTTGGGCTGATGCCCAGTGTTCACCGGCACCCGGAAATTCTGGCCGCTCAGATTCAGTCACGTTTGGAGGGAGGCAGCACGTATTGAGAGATGTACTTCTAGTTATCGCATCGATGGTGTCGGTGGCTGGGCTTGGCTTGTTCTTTTTATTCCCTCTTGGGCATTGTTTCATGTTGTCAGTTGGCTTGTTATAAGATGATTATGGAATTTCGGGCGGTGACCATGTACAGTACTATACTATCTCTCTATCTACTAGGCCTTGACGTGAGGCAATTGGTAGCGCATAACAATCAGTAACATGCCTTTTCACAAAGCAGCTACAGGTAAGGTAGACATCATGGAATCGCAAAGCATAGGGTGGAGGAAGCGAACAGCGAGCGGCACGTAACTTCACTTATTGGTACTTATTGTATGGATTGGATTGTATCTCCGGCCCACTCAAACACCCAAATACGTACTACGTCAACAATACTAGGTAAACATTCCCCGCCCACTGCCCACTCCCCCCCCTCTCCTCGTTCCATCTTTCTCCTACCTTCTCCCCCCTCTCTCCATCTGTGCTGCCCTTTGAATTTAGAACCTCCCTTCTTCTACCACCTAGTCACTGATATTGTCTGCTGGATCAGCCATGTCAATCACTAATGGTCTGCCCTAACTCGATCATGTTGGCTATGCTGCCGTGCCCCTCGGCTGACTATAACTTAATAGAATCGATCTGGGCTGCGAACCCTACCACCACGAGGGGCCAGCCCACCCAGCTCTCGTCGGACGCCAAGGGTGAACGACTTGCATATGCGGTATGTTCTAATCAGACATTGGCGATAGGGACGATGTGCGGGCGCTGACGAATGCTTTGTTGGTATGCTGCACAGGCCAACAAGTCCATCTTTTTGCGCTCCATCGACAACCCCGCGATCGCCAGGCAGTACACAGAACACAAGGCCCAGACAACAGTCGCCCGTTTCTCCCCTTCCGGCTTCTATGTGGCAAGTGGTGATGCGACCGGTATTGTGCGTGTTTGGGACTGCATCGGAGACGGCCTCACCAAGGGTGAATACAGCATTGTGAACGGCCGCATTAACGACCTTGCCTGGGACGGCGACTCCCAGCGCATCATTGCGGTTGGTGACGGCAAGCAGCGATATGGGCACTGTATCACCTGGGACAGTGGTAACACGGTCGGCGAGATCTACGGACACACACAACAAATCAACTCCGTCTCTATCAGGCAACAGAGACCGCTGCGAGCGGCGGCGGCCGGTGACGATAAAAACCTCGTTTTCTACCACGGCGCGCCATTCAAGTTCAACTCAGGTATCCGAGACAAGCACACCAATTATATTTATGGTGTTGGCTTCAGCCCCGACGGCTCGACCCTTGTCAGTGTCGGTGCTGACCGGAAGATCTGGCTCTACGATGGCAAGACTGGCGAGCCGAGAGGTCAAATTGGAGAAGGAGAGCACAAAGGAAGCATCTTCGCTGTCTCGTGGGCTAGAGATTCGCGCAAGTTTGTAACTGCTAGCGCTGACAGGACCGTGAAGATCTGGGATGTGGAAGCGGGTAAGGTTACCCAGAGCTGGGATATTGGAGAAGAAGGAATGTCAAACGTCCGAGATCAGCAAGTTGGGGTGGTGTGGCCTCCGGCCAGAAGTGATAACCTGCTCATCAGCCTCTCGTTGAGCGGGGATCTGAACTACCTGGTGGAAGGCACTCCCCAGCCGCGGCAGGTGATCCAGGGCCATCAGAAGAACATCACGTCCCTGACTCAGTTTCGCTCTGGCAACGACACGGAAACATTATGGTCGGGCAGCTTTGATGGAAGGGTTTGCCATTGGGATGTTCCGACGGGAACTGCGGAAGAGGTGGAAGGAGACGGCCATACAGCCTACATTGCCGGTCTTACTCCGACTCAGGAAGGCGCCGGACGCATCTACAGTGTCGCTTGGGATGACACAATTCGCTCTGTTGATCTTGGTGCTAAGACCTACACCGGTGTTTCGTCCAAGTTGTCTGGCCAACCTAAGGGCATCGCAGCTGCGAAGGACAAGGTTGTAGTAGGGACAACCGAGAGCGTGGAGACCTATCACGATGGGCAGAAGATCGGTGAGTTCAAGCCTCAGTTTGCCGTGACGACAGTTGCAGCCCATAAGAACTTGACTGCGATCGGTGGCGAGGACTCGTCCGTCCAGATCTGCGACATCTCAGCCCAGGGGTTAATCCCCAAGACCGAGTTCAAGGCAACGCGGAACGCAATTTCGGCCTTGTCATTCTCGCTGGACGGATCGCTCCTGGCGGTTGGAGATTCCCGGGGCCGAGTGCTGGTCTACAAGGCTGCCGATGGCCAACTAGTCACCGACCGTTGGACGGCGCACACCTCCCGAGTCACCTCCATCGCGTGGAACGAGGACAATACCCATGTTGTTAGTGGAGGCCTCGATACCAACATCTTTGTGTGGAGCTTGACGAAACCGGGAGACTGGGTGCAAGTAACAAATGCCCACAAAGAGGGCGTGAATGGAGTTGCTTGGATTGCAGGCGGATCTAAGATTGCCTCGGCTGGAGCGGATGCAGCGATCAAAGTGTGGAAGGTGGAAGGGTTGGCATGATGATGATGATGATGGATGGGGTCTTTTGTGCGGTTTTTGTTTGAGAGTAATTACTTTTTGTGATTTTGCTTTTCTTTTCGTATGTATAACATACATATATACACATACACTTACACCTACAACCATATATACAGTACATACTCTATACATACATACATACATACATACATACATACATCCATCCATCCATCCATCCATCCATCCATACATATACACCCGTTACTGTACATACAACAAGCTGTCTGTGAGTTGCGTTCTGGATCGACGCCCAGAGCAAGTTAAGTTATTACTTGTACCTATGCTGTAACAGGGCAGTGATTAGTGGGTGTGAACACCCATTGGTCGGCTGACCAGCTAGCTCTCCACCGCCCGCGCCCGGCGTTCTTCAAGCTTCCCCATTCATTGTTCCATCATCCCAATCAGTCTGGTTTGTTCCTTCTTTCCAGTCGGTCTACTGAGTACATACAGTACGAAGAGTGAGGTAGGAAAGTATGGTCCGGGCGCTGGTTCTCTCTTGTCCATAGCCCTGCCAGACCTGCTTCTCCTCCTCTTCCTCACCCCCCACCACCACAACACCGACTGTTTGTCCTCTTCTTTCCCTCTCTTCGTTTCCCCTACCTTGATTTTTTGGTGCCCATTTTGCTTCTTCTTGACGCCAGTACCATGAAGTGATAAGATGTCTCGGTCCGGGGACTTATCAAGCAGCTCCCGTCGCATTTTACGCCCCAAGAAGGTTAGCCAACCATAGTCCGATTAGCCATGATTAGCCATGATTATCTAGATAATCACCTTCTATCCTCCTCCATAACTTATGGTGATTGACCCTTTTCCTTTTCATCATGAACTTAGCTCCGATATGCGACCTTCGTCCTCCCACGAACTGGTCAGCGACTGAAAGGTCTTATTCATCTACGAAATCCGGATTCCGGTTTGCATGGCAACAGCGAAGACGACGAGCGCCGAGCGCTTCTGACCGGCGAGATTGCTGCCCCTCGCAGAGGTCTATCGGCGCGTCTGTGGGGTCATATCACAAGTATTGGCCAGCAAGCGCATGAGTTTCTCTCGTCAGAACTGGGGATTGGCGTCTTGAAGTGTAGTCTAGCTTATTTGCTTGGCTCCCTTGCAACCTTCGTGCCCGCTATATCCTCATTCTTGGGCCATCAAGATGGCAAACATATGGTGGCTACGGTCACTGTGTATTTCCATCCTGCGAGATCGCAGGGGAGCATGTATAAGGCCTTGATCTGTGCCTTTGCCGCTTTTCTTTACGCCGCACTTGTCTCCGTAACCAGCATGTTCGTCTCGATGTTCTTTCAAGACACCTTAAATTTGGTTCTCCTTGGTCACGCCGTTGTTTTAGTCGTGTTCTGTGGAGGTGGCCTGGGCTTCATTGGATGGACGAAGCAGAGATTTGGTGACCCTCTTGTGAATGTCGCATGCTCGTTGGCGTCGCTTTCCACCATCACGGTCTTGACAAAAGAGGGCGCGGTGCAGAGCGGTGATTTGTCATTTGCAAAGATCTCCCAAGTCCTGAAGATGGTGGTCATGGGCGTAACGGCCTCCATGGCAGTGTCTTTCCTGATCTTCCCAATCTCGGCACGAAAGCAACTGCGGTCAAACCTCACTACGGTCACGGAGACTTTGGCAACAATGTTGGCTTTGATCACCGAGAGCTTTCTGAGTGGCTCGGAAGAGGAGCTTCAGACTGCGGAATTTCTCGAGGCCGCCGCACGCCATAAAAAAGCGTACGGTCAGCTGGACAAGCTTGTGCGTGAAGCTAAAATGGAGCATTTCGTTGTAGGCACCGAAAAGGAATACAGACTAGAAAAGACACTGGTCCGCTGGGTCCAGGATATCACACACAATCTAGGCGGTTTGCGCAGTGCTGCTCATTTACAATTCCAGCTGCTCAAGCAAACCCAAGCTACCGAGACTGCACACCAGGGGTCGGACGTCAATTTCGGACTCGGTGCTGGCCCGCTACCCAGTCCCTGGTCATTGCATGAGGATTGTCCCTTTCTGGAACCCATCTACGAGAGGCCAGAAGAAGAGATGTTGGAGGCAACGGGGGGGGACGGGTTCGATTTCAATGCAGAGAATGGTACCAGTCCTGAACTCGAACAAATTCTCCACCCGGCGGACATCTTTGCTATATTTATCAGTCACCTGGGGCCCTCAATGGTAAGCGGTTCTGACAACGATGATACCACCGTAATGCATGCTGATAATAGTCCTTAGAGATCTCTCGCGTTCACTTTGAAGGAGATATTTCGCGATATTCCTTTCAAGCCAGAATCTGACTATCGAGTATCAATTAATAGCAAATACCGCTCGAGTCTCGATAGAGCACTACTATTATATCGAGATTCACGGGAAGAGGCGCTCAAGACCATCTATCGGCAACGAGAAGTCCTCGGGATTCAGACACTGGAAGTTGAGGCTGACCTGGAGGAGGTGTCTGCCAGCTGCGGGCATTTCAGTTTTTCGTTGCTTGAATTTGGAGAACAGCTGAAAGAGCTTCTCGCCATCTTGGATGAGCTACAGCTCGAGAGCGAGGAGAGGCCCGATGGCCGATCATGGAATTGGCTCAAATTCTGGCGCTGGGTCTTCGGCGGAGGTCCAAAGAGGGACATGATGGATGTCACGATGGAGCAGGCTCATCTAGGCGAGCCCAACCTCCTCAAGCCGCCTCGTGGTTCGAGCGGGTCATCCAATGTCACCGCAATCAGTCTTGCAGAACAGAGACTTGGCTATCGTTTGTGGCGTTCCCTTGGGGTTTTCCGCCGGGACGACACCAAGTTTGCGATCAAAGTCGGCACTGGCGCTGCGCTTTATGCCTTGCCTGCATTCATCCCGTCCACTCGACCCGTTTACGGCCATTGGCGAGGCGAATGGGGTCTGCTCTCGTACATGTTGGTCTGTTCTATGACCATCGGAGCCTCGAATACGACGGGATACGCACGGTTCCTCGGTACCTGCTTGGGCGCAGGTTGTGCGATTCTCTCATGGTATGCTACTGACGGAAACGTTTTTGGCCTCGCAATTCTAGGCTTGCTCATGGCTAGTTGGAACTTCTACATCATCATCGTGCGAGGTCAAGGGCCAATGGGCCGATTCATCATGCTAACATATAATCTCTCGGTCCTCTACGCCTATTCACTTGCTCAGAAAGAAGGAAGGAATGATCAAGATGAAGGAGGGGACAGCCCCATCATCACCGAGATTGCCCTGCATCGTGTGGTTGCTGTTCTATCGGGCTGTCTCTGGGGTATTATCATTACGAGGATGATCTGGCCGATCAGTGCACGTGAGAGGCTAAAAGACGGACTGAGTCTGCTCTGGCTTCGCATGAGCTTGATCTGGAAGCGTGGCCCCTTGTCCACCATGGCCAACCCGAAGGAGTCTGCGGGATTCATGAGCGCCCGGGAGAAGTTAGAAGTCGAGCGATTCCTGTCACATCTGGAGTCTTTGCAAGCCTCCGCTCGTTCGGAGTTTGAATTAAGGAGTGCTTTTCCCGATGCTAGCTATGGCAATATTCTTCGTCGGACGCGCAGCATGGTGGGCGCTTTCGTTGCCATCAACCTTGAACTGGTCAAAAACATGACGGCGTCCGAGGGAGAGTTATCTATTCTACGATACACCGTGAAGGAGAGGCAGCAGCTCTCCCATCGTATCAGTCATTTGCTGACAGGTAAAGTCCGATATTGGCAGAGGAGGCATTGAACCACTACTGACACCTAACTCCTCAAACAGTTATGGCCTCTTCAATGAAGCTGGAGTATCCTCTAAGCGATGCTCTGCCGAACGTTGAGCACGCCCGAGATCGGCTCCTGGCGCGTCTTTTTCACTATCGTAAAGACCCTGAAGCATCTCGAATGTCGACCGATGAAGACTACGCTCTGTTGTATGCATACGGTATGTCCTTTGTCCTGCAGAAATCACCCTCAACCATGGCTAAATTTGAACTTAGTGCTGGTGGTGGGACAGTTGTCCGGAGAAATTGAAGCCATTCTTGGGGAAGTTGGTCGTCTTTTCGGAGTTCTGGATGAGGATGCAGTGAAGTTGTATGCTTAGACATTCGGGGGGGGGGGGGTAAGGAACAAGCGCCCGCATTGTAGAAAAGAATAGCTTCGAAAAGTGAAGTCCACGTAGAGGATCAATGTAAATGAGAAAAAAAAAAGGAAATCGTTTTCTAATTTTTCAGTTGTGTTGCGGTTCTGCAACTGCGACATTTGGTGGGGGATAGTAAATTGGATCAATCGTTTGCGGATGGATTGTCGGAAAGTCCAACAACTTCCCTTCTCCGTCGTCGCTCTCACTTACTCACTCTCTCCATCCCTCCCTCTCCCCCGCTGTCCATTTCCCCATCAACGCGTGTCTTGGCCTGCTCTTGCCCGACAATCTCTTACATGCTTTCGTCTTATCTCATCCCCTAGAGCTCAGTCCGCATCTTGATCAAGATTAAATGGGATGAGTTCCGCCTCTTCATGAAGGCCTAGCTCCCCCCTCCCACCCTCTCCCCCGGCTTCTCGCAGCCCCCGTGCCCCGTCGCGCTTCCGCGAGCACCGCAGTCATGCAGATCGACCCGGCTGCTCTGAGTCGGCCAGACTCGGCAGCGACCACAATTACCTCGTCCAAAGGTTCTGCGACCAGTGCTCCAGCACTGCAGAAGTCGACTAAGGCGCTCATCGCCGTTCCGCGACTGGACCTTGAACCTGTCTACACGGAGCTCAAAGCCGCCATCGGCGACCACTGGGCCGAGTACCAAGAGGCTACCACTCTTTTCCTCCTTGGTAAGTTCGACATGATAAAATGGACCCCAACACTGAACAAATATGGCCTCTGGCTTTTTGCAACCACATTCCCCGGTGCCGTCTCGTACGGTCGTATCTATATGACCCCACATCTCCGCTTGGCCTTCATCCAGATCGCGAGACTGACGTCTTTATTCGCTGAGCAGGACAACTAAATCAAAGTGAACTGTCATCGCGCGTCGATCATATAATATGCGCCGACCAAAAAACCGAGCACCTCCACAATAACTTTATCTGCGCGATTATCGGAAACTTGACCCGAGATCTCCCCGACCATGGAGTCGCTAGTTGGGTATCCGCAAATGACAAGCCCTCAGTGGTGTCGAAACCGACTTCGGGGGACGCTGCCGAACAGAGACTCAAAACAGAGGTCATGCAGCTGCCTCCGCGGGACCGGCGCAGACTTAAGGCTATACCCGAGGTAGGCAGCCCATTACTCGATATGTGGCTGGTCACGCCATCTAAATGTTATTGTACAAGTCTAACATGATGTGATGTTCCACTGGCTCAGCGTGATCCTAACGATATCTCGTCCAATGATCTGGTCGAATACCACCTGGCGAAGCAGATTAAATTGCCGAGCCAGGTACCTGCCAGCGCCGGGGGGTTAAACAAGACAAGTAGGTCTCATGCTTTACAAATGACTCTATTTTTGGTTTGTGATGAGAAGCTTACTTGTCTGATTTACGATAGATTGGGAGCTGGAAATTCGAAAACGCTATGCGCAACCCCTAGCATCTGAGACCGGCGAGTTTCCAGATGCCGAATCAATTCATGCACGCATGGTTCCTATATGCTACGAAGAGTCTATAGTCAGTGGCGCAAGCTTACCCTGTGCGGAGTATATGGCCATTGCAACAGAAACATTCGTCAAGGAAGTCTTGTCAGTGGTTTTCTCGCGAACCAGGTCTAACGGCCCTTCGGGAACCATCAATGGCATGATGATGCGCAAGTATCGACAACAACTAGAGCGAGAAGAATTGGCTTTCACGAGAGGCGAAATTGTCAAAGATAGTGCAACCGGGTTATTGCCTATTGAAGCTAAGGAGGCAAGTGTCCGAAAGCCACTGGGGGTTCGGGACCTGCGGCTAGCACTAGAGCTCGGCAGCGGTGTTCTCAGCCATATGCCCCTGCTTGTGGACCAGATTATGGGCGGCTATTTCGAAGATGAACACGAGGCAGAAAGACATGGTTCAATTGACGACGTTGTAGAGATCACGAATGACGACTCTGGACAGGATTTCTTCTCCGATGAGATGGACATTGACGACATCGACTCCGATTGGGAGGGAGGCACAACGGCTGATAGGGAGCACTTGGGTACTTTGTTGGATGAGTGTCTATCCATGGCCGCGTGAACGATCCTCCCTTTCGCTCCTCCTTTCTCTTCCCCTCTACCCCAGTTTCTCTCCGTGCATATGCTGCGTCAACCGCTGACCCATTCTCTACTTCCTGTCTCTTTTATTTTTCTGCTTTCACAGCCTTAAGCCGCTTGATATCCGTTGCTTTCAATGCGTTGCGCCTTTGTGCCTTTTTTTCACGTGATACACATACATTCATACACATTTCGATCTGGATTTACCAAAGATTGGGTTCGGCATCTTGGATCTGGCGGAGCGTCAAGGCGTCTTGGGAGTCTTTAAGGATTGCCGCTATGGCGCGCGACCCTGTCATTTCTGCATTTGGCATGGAGTTCGGAGATGCTTCTGTTTTGTTTTTGTCTATATTGAACCCTGTTTCCCCGCTTCTTTATCATATTGCTTCTTTCTCTCTTGCTTTTTTGCCTGCGATCACTATTCGGGCAGTTAGTCATGTTCAATGTGACAAATCATCTTTTTTTTTTTGGCTGAGAAGCCAATGCAGTCAACTCGAATCCCCTACTGTGCCAATTTATAACAGCTTCAGTCTCGCGAGGGGAGCATCAAACGTCCCTACCGATTACGGCCCACTTAAGAGGCGACTGTGACCGTTTTGGGGACATCCAGAGCTTGCCCGCTACGATCATCCGAGCTGCTCTATGACCCCACTATTGGTCAATTCTGGGATAAATGAAGACAGGAACTGGACATTCTATGCATGGCTGTGAGCCTGTGGATGCAAGGGATTACCCTGCGGACCTGGCAATGTTGTTCTTGTTTTGTCTATGTACTGTACATTATCTGCTGGGACGGCCTGATTGTAGGTCATTCCGGGACCGCTTAAATAACGATGACTCATGATGTTCAAGATATTTCAAGCCAGCTGCGATCGAGTACCCTGCTGACCATACGAGCGTGTTAGACTGATGAGGCTTGTGGCCGTGATGCGTTTCCCACGCCAATCTCGGGCGTTCATTGGTAGGCTTGTGACTAGAACCGAACTTGAGTTGGGGTGAAAGGGCTGCTCAAGCGCCGAAGACCGTTCATTGAGTGAGACGGTCGGCAACCATTTTAAGAATTTCCTCTGTTGACTTGCGCGCATTGGACGGGTCTTTGGATACCGACTGCCAGACTTCGCCGTGCTTCGGTTCGGTCATGCTACATTTAGCCACGACATCTGCTCGTTTCTCCTGCACGCCGATTTCGAGTCAGTCTCTGAAATACTCAAAAGAACCAGGGGAAAAAAAGAGGGGGGGTTTATCGTACCTCTGTACCGTGCTGCAACAGGAACTTATAATACCAAGCCCACCCGTCGCCCAAGTCACTGTCGGTGACAATGGCCTTTTCAAACCAGGTCATTGCCTTCTCCAGTCGACGCTCCCCCCAAAAGATGCGAGCCACCGTGATGAACAGAATCGGGTCGTTATCGGCCTTCTTAATAGCCTCCAAGCTGCGGGCCTTTCTCTGCGAGCGAGGCTCGAGGTGCCAAATGCTTTCGCTCCATAGCAGACCAGATGTGGGGACCTCTTGCAAGGCTTTGGCCATCAAGACCTTGGCCTGGGCGATGTTGTTGGCACGTCGTTCCACACGAACACTCTCTGTCCACAATTCCGGGCTCTTGGGTACTGCAAGGCGGGCGCGGTCTAGAACCGAGCGAGCTTTGACGACCGCCCCGGCCCTTTCTTCCAGCCGTGAGGCCAACAGCCAGAGCGGTACCGACTTGGGGCACGCTCTGGTACCGGTTCCATAAGCCTCCCTCGCCTGAGGATACTTGTTCTGGCCTTCGTAAATCTGGCCTTTCATCATCCATAACTTGTCGGCTTTAGGGTAGAGTTGAAGACCTTGGTTGACGAGGTCAAGCGCCTCGTCAACGTTGCCCAGTTGCCGCTCAAATGCGACACTCTTGACCCATACACGATCCGTTCCTGCTTCACGGCGGGCCGTGGAAAGAAGCTCTCTGGCCTGGGCTGTTTGGTCGGCATCCGCCTCCAATCTGACGGCAGCCAGCCAGATATCTTCGTTGTTCGGGTTCTGATTAAAAGCACGGCCGAGCACTCGTCGGGCATCGTCGATTTCTCCAGATTGCCATTTCTCTTTAGCAAGCTGTAACCACAGCTCCTCGCTCTGAGGACAGGCTTCCACGGCCTTTGTAAGCACCTGCCATAGTGCCTCTTTGCTACCATGGTTGCGCTCGAGGTCAGCTGCCGCCAGCCAGATAGTTCGGCGATTGACGAAAACACGGAGTGCATAGGCATAGATAGCCCTTGCTGTTTCGTACTTGCCGCGGGCAATACTAGCCTTGGCATCCTCCATCCAGATGTCCTTACGGTCGTCATCCTCGTCGAGACCCCATCCGAGAGTCTCGCGGATAATAGCACCGCAAGTGAGGATGGCACCCTCCTCCTCACATTTCTCGGCCTCGGCGATCCATTCCTCCCTCTTAAGCATCGCGTTCTCTCTTGCCAAGCTCTGTACAGCCCTCTTCATAACGTTAACCTTCTCGGATGTACCCATTTGTTCCTGCAACCTCGCGGCTGCGATCCACACTTCGTGGCTGGTAGGGACGGCTTTTCGAGCAGCATTAAGAACCTTCTGCGCATTTTCTGGGGTCTCGAGGCGCGCCAGAGCAAGCCAGAGCTCCACTGACAGAGGTATGATTTCAACCGCTTTTGCGAGAAGAAGACGTGCATCTGCTGGGTCTTCCTCCAGGTTGACGGCCTCTTTCCAAATGACAACGGACTGAGGAATGTGAAGAATAGCTTGTCTGAGCACATTCTTTTTGGCCCGGGGCTCGGTTTCCAGTCTCATCGCCTCAATCCATAGTCTTGTTGAGCGGTCGTTGTTCTTGATCGCGTTTGCAGCTATAACCTTGGCATTATGTCCTTCGTTGAGTCGGATGTTCTCCAGCCAGGCGTCTTCACTTTTCGGGCATAATTCGCAGCCCTTGGCGATGACATTCCGGGCCGTCACAACTCTACCGGCAAGTTCTTCCAGACGAGCCAGAGCGATCCACCCGGGAGCATGCTTGGGGTTCGTCTTCGTTACTGATTCTAAAAGAACGCGAACCCGCTTAATATCGCCGATTTCCACCTCGCCCGCCTTGAGCTCCGACTGGGTGAGGCTTGTAAGATAGCCCTTAGGGTCGATGTTGGTGGCGCTTCCCGAGGCCGAGTCGCCCGATGAGCCCATTGCAGCTTGATCCAGTCTGACCTGTAGCACCTTGTCACGCGCGGCACTTATATTGGCAAAATTTGTTATCGTTCCATCCGCACTCTCTGCTCCCGCGGCGGCACTGGTCTGCGCACCGTCGTCTGCCACGGTTGTTTCGAATTGCGTAGAATCCCTTGCACTGGCGATCACACTGTCCGGAACCGCATAGAACCGTTGGCGAAGGTTCTGCTTCGCGCGTCTGTTCTTGCCCGTAAGATCTCCCACCTCCGGTAGGTTCGCCCACTCGTCTTCGGAGACGGAGGCTAGCGATCGTTTTAGGTCGGCAAATTGCTGCTGAATCTTGGGGTTCTTGCGTTCGTAGTCCTCTCGCTCTTGCCGCTCTCGGGCTTCTCTGGTAGGAGCCAGATTCCATGTCAGTAGTCCATCCTGACACGAGGTCGCCGGGGAACCGATAAACACCGCGGAGGGAGTGCAGTCAACTAACCTTCGCATCTTGCGTCTTTTGTCCATCTTCTCATCTACCTCCCGGTAGATCCGGTCGGCTTCATCATCCTCCTGATCGAACTGTCCGTAGGCAAACAAGCCCACTTCGTTGTCCGGATCCTGGAACCGCTCATCCTCCTCCTCGTCTTCGGCTTTGTCGTCCTTGCCGCCCTTATCTCGCCCGGCTCCATAGGCAGTCGGGGGCGCGGCTCCTAGTTGTTGCGCTCGTTTCGCGAGCGCTGCCTGGATCTGTTCCGGCGTGGGCCCTTCACGCGCAGGTCCTAGATCTGAACGGGTGGTGAAACCGGTCGCACCGCGACCAAGACCCGCAACGTAGTTCTCGGGGGCGGCCTGGCTCAGGAAGTCTTTCCGCCCAGAGGCCATACTGACCGAGACACACGTCACAGAGGATGAAGTAAAGCTGAAAGACCGCAGCGAGGCCTGATGGAAGACGGGGTGGTGGCAAGCGACGTAGGCGGTGGATATCGATCGATGCTTTGCGACGGGCCATCGGGGAGACAGTCGCATTTAGATTATTCCGGCCCCGGTAATCTTATCAGGAACCTTGAAGTCTCCGCAATGCCTTTGATTTTTTTGCCTTATTCACACCGGAGTGGAGCACAGCACCGAGGGTGTCACAAGGTCTCTCTTGAAGACCTCTTTTTTACATTGCATACCTATATTACAGCAAGGCCGACCGTGGTAATTGCTGCATCTGATCACCGTCATGCCTAAGGTCAAACAACCGAAGCGCAACAGCGCCTCCAAAGCCAACCCATATGCAGACGCTGCAGCCAAAACTAAAGCAGCCAACAGCATTTTCAAAATGAACACAGACCTTGGTCAACATATCCTGAAGAACCCCGGCGTCGCCCAACGAATTGTTGAGAAAGCTGAGCTGAAACAAAGTGACGTGAGTACAGCCTTCGCTATGTACAATTCGCAGTTCTCGGGCACATCTAAAGTCTGATATACCTCGACTCACAGGTCGTGCTGGAAATCGGTCCTGGTACAGGTAACTTGACCGTAAAAATCCTCGAGAAAGCAAAGAAAGTCATCGCCGTTGAGCTGGACCCTCGAATGGCTGCTGAGGTCACAAAACGTGTCCAGGGGACGCCCGCCCAGAATCGCTTGGATGTTATACTCGGAGACGTAATGAAGACGGATCTTCCGTACTTCGACGTCTGCATTAGCAACACTCCCTATCAGGTGCGCTTTCATATCTAAGTCTTTTTCTCATCCAGTCCCTAACCTGCTTGCGACCAGATCTCTTCCCCACTCACATTCAAGCTTCTCGCTACCTCACCAGCTCCTCGAGTCTGCATCCTAATGTTTCAACGAGAGTTTGCGCTGAGACTCTTCGCCAAACCGGGCGATAAACTCTACAGTCGACTCTCGGTCAATGCCCAGATGTGGGCCAAGATCGATCACATCATGAAGGTTGGAAAGAACAACTTCAAACCACCTCCGCTGGTCGAATCCAGTGTAGTCCGCTTAGTCCCCAAAAATCCCAGGCCGCAAATCAATTATGACGAATGGGACGGACTTCTAAGAATCCTTTTCGTTCGAAAAAACAAAACAATCCGATCAAGCTTCCTGGGGAAATCCACTGTTATGGACATGCTGGAAGCTAATTATCGGACATGGTGCGCGCAAAATGACATTCCGGTGGAGGATGGACCAGCGGGTGAGACTGGAGCAGACGCAATGGACACAGGCAATATGGAAGATGAGGAAGATGAGGACGAGGCTGAAGAAGTCATGGATGTGGATGATGAAGATGACGTGCCGGACTTTTTCAAGGAACAGGAAAATGCCCGGATACAAGAGGCGCTAAAAGGTCGGCCAAGCCGAAAGAAGAGAGGAAAAGTGGGAGAGCTGGTTCGGGAAAAAGTTCGGCAGGTATTGGAAGAAGAAACGGGCCTCGCTGATAAACGTGCCAGGATGTGTGATGAGAATGATTTTCTGAAGCTGTTGTGGGCGTTCAACCAGAAAGGCTTCCATTTCACCTGAACATACTGCTGACGAGAAGGAGCGCGTATCGGGCCTTGGGATCTTCTGGTGTATACGAAAACAAGATCTCCCTAATGATTCACGACAGTCGTCATTGAAAGCCATTCTCAGGCGACCGATCTCCAGCCGGGCGAAGATGGGCACGAGAGTCCTGAAAAAGACTTTGCCATATGTAGGCTTCACTTAGCAAAAGTTCAATATCCTTCTCAGTCCAGCCTTTCGTCGGTAGGGCTTGCAGGAACATCATAATCTCCTAATTCTAGTTAGCTTGTTCTGAGCTGGTACAGCTCTTCCCATCAGAAACGCACCTGAAAGTCCATTTTCACCAGTTGATCTGTCCACTTCACCAGAAACGCCGCACACACGTAGAGGTGGAAGCGTGAGAAGCCCTGCTCTTCAGCCTATGTGCAGATTATCAGTAAGGACGTCAGGATTATGATCTCTTTGGAAGTAGACATGCAGTACCATATATGTATCCCACATCCTTATGGTATTTTGGACGCTCATTTCTCGCATGAGGAGGCAGTTCATCCATCGAAAACTGAATTGCATGAATTCCACACCCTCTTGCTCTAAATGCTTAGCCAGCGTAGAGTCTATGCGCATGGTCAAATCACGCAGTGCTCTGACTTGCCTGTGAATCCCAGGTTGAGCATAGATGTAATTGTCCTGAATTCCGTCCAGGAGTTTGGTAAGACACCAGAAGGAGTCCGCCTCCACCGCATCCAGCACCCTCCGAGGTAATTGACCTGGATCCATGCCTTCCTCGACGTTAAGATCGGTGACGTAAAGTCCAAGAAATACTTGCCAGAAAGGAGTCACAAGGTCATTGATGCCTTGGACATAGCCGCTGGCAGGATGACGTATAGCCCAGACGTAGAGTATCTTCTCTAAAGAGCGTTGAGTAGCCTCGTAGCTGTAGAGCTGGATGTGGGGGCTGGTGCGAGGAACATCTATACTAATCTGATGCCAAACCGCTTCATCTAACCCTCTACCTCGCCCTGTGACGGACGAAGACGGGTTTCCGGAGGTTGAAGGACCTCGCTCAAAAGCTTGTCGAACCCCGTCCAAGTATTCCTTGCGCTTCCTTTCAAGGGTCGAAATGCGCCGTTCACTGTTTGTCGGCAAGTACCCTAGTAGTAATTGCCAAGTCATTGCTCGCACTTCTTCTGGGACCCCTGACCACGCGAGGTTCCTGAGTTCCGCAAGAGGAACAGTGCTCGTCTGCAGCAGACGCTTGAATTTGTTGATCCTTGAGATGCGACTCGAATATAGGTCCATTTCTTTAGGCGACGCATTTTTGGGTGGTGGCGCATGATCAATAAGATTAAGAGCGTGCGCAGGGTCTAGATTTCATTAGCAGATGTGCTTGGACCTGTCTGCGCTTAAGGCTGCAATTCACCTCTCAAAATTTCCTTATACTGAGGACGTAGGATTTTACCCTCTGCGTTCTTCGCTGTAGGGTAAAGTGAAACGCCACGCTCTTCTGCAATGTCAGAGCTATTTGCCCGTTGTCGATTGCTTCCAAGGCCAACACCAAGGGTCAAATGATCCCCTATCCCCCCACCGGGGTCAACGGTGTTAGGTTGAACTAGAGCAGTGGCCCGGTTTTGCTTTCTCCGCATGCTGGTAATGCTTGGGAGCCCAAATTCATCCTCATCATCATCGTAGGCTACATCCTCCTCCTCATCTTCATCTTCCTCCTCTTCTTCTTCGTCTGCCCGATAACTTTCCCAAACTTCCAGTCCTCCGTTCATGATGCCAGAATATGAGGTGCGAGGCGACGAGACCCATACACCCGGCCGGTGTGGAGACAAGGTAGCATGTGGGTTACTGATGGAAGTCACTGGAGGTGGTGTTCGTGGACGAGTATGTGGTTGTGGGCCTCTGTAGGGCATGCATTTGGATCAATCACTAGAAAACAGGAGCAAACAAAGCGTGCGGCCATGAGACTCACACTGAAATATTGGCATGGGAATATGAAGCTCCAACGACGGTATTCGACTCCGGGGTCCTGGACGATGTCTGGTTATGCGACACCGACCTAGCCTTCCAAAACGGCGAATTGCTTTTCCTTCGCGCACCAGTTAGTGGGTAATCTATGAGCTGCAATGACAAGAAACAGCTTCAATTGATTCGCTGGGTGGAGGATTGCCAACTCAGGATTGAAACTAACGTACTCGATGCGATCTGTGACGACAACAGGGGAATTGATCAGTTGCGGGAATCTTGTAGATGAAATAAAAGTAGGTATGGAAGAGGCACGAACCAACCTGGACCATCTCCTGATAACGAGTTGACCAAGCGATCGGGTCAGCAACCCAATTATATAGTACTTTGGAAAGATGTCTGGGGAAGGGAAACGGCTGCATCGAGCAGATTAAGACTAACTCACCTGCTGCTGGCCTTTTTTGCTTGCCATTGCGTCAAGCTCTTTATGCAGAGAAGACGGGGCCTGTTGAAAAGATCATCAGCTGGTTACCAGGTGAGAAAAGCAAGAGTCGGAAGATTGAGAAGAGGAAAAAGGTGATCAGGGAAAGCTAAGTCGGGGAGGGAGAGGCAGTGCGGGGAGGGAAGTATCACTGGCACGTGGAGGTATGTATGTACGTACAGTTATACACATACAGTAACTAACTTAGTAGTAGGTAGTAAGTTTACTACGCAGTAACTACCTTCCGCCAGACTGGAGCCAATAAAGGTAATAATCTCCTCTTGCTTTGCTTACACAAAGAGGTTGCAAACACTTTCAAGTCACACCATCAGATTGAGAGGATCATCATTTGTAACAATAAGTACTAAATAATAATTAATGGGGAGACTGCGGAGCTTTATTTCGTCATGGCCGTCATGGCCTCTGTCAATCATGGTATTGCGATTACCGCAGGTCAGTCACTTACCAGAAGTCATGTACTTTACTATACATGTATTTTATATGTATAAAGTGGTCACTTACAAACCATACAGTCTTACTCGCCTCAGTTCAACCTCCTCCGCTCCTGCTTTCCTCTCTCCTTCTCTCTCTCTTCCTCTTTCTCCTCCTGCATCTACACCTCCTTCCTCCGTCCTTTCTCTTGTTCAATAAAACTCTTTCAGTTCATCACTATCTCCCCTTTACTTTTCTTTTCTGACACTGAACTTTCTAAATCTAGTAGCAGTCCGCACTGCCTGATTCAATAATATTCCCGGTCGAGTCCAGTGGCTCTCGTTTGAACCAATCCCAGTTCACCAGCCGGTGTTGGCTATCTCTACAAATTACATTACCATTCCTCTCACGCTTTCCGTTTCCCAGCTTCTTCAATCCAGTTACTGAGCGATAATGGCTGAACCTGAGGATGTTGAGGAAGACCTCTTCGCCGATTTGTAGGGCGCTCCCGTCAATTATCCCAGTTTAAGACATTATCTGACGCTCGGTATCCGCAATTCTAGGTACGATGCCGACGACACTACGGCTCAGTCGACGTCTGTTGTAGAGCCTCCACAGGTTTCAGAACCCATCACCTCCGCTCCACCTGTTCCCGCGACTGAACCTGATACGCAACATGCGGATCAGCACCATGGTGATGCCGAAGTGGGCGGATCCTATCAATATTCCCACCAGTCTGGCAATCATGTGGGAGGAGAAAATGGCGGCGCTGGCTTTCCAAATCTTTCGGCAACTCCAGTGGGCGACTCCGAACCTCAAGGGACCGGAATCAAAGAAGACGGGTGAGTACTATTTTCAGTCAAAAATCCCTACATCGTGTTTTATTCGTATCATGCACTCTTCATTGCGCCTGTGACTTTGGTCGTCACAGTCTCAAAAATGCTTCTCACCCCCCTTCCTCATTCCTCGTCTTATCCCCAGTCATCCAGAGGGGGTCAGTGTCTGAATGTTGCCACTGAGCGGGCCTCATGTTCCAAGCGAGACATGAGCGATTCCTACACACTACTCATCGGGCTTCCATTCAGCCCCAACAATGGTTCGTGCTCAATGTCGATTGAGTTCCGGTGTCCTGGTGCTGTGTGCGAAAGGGTCAGGTTCTATCATCTCAGTCAAGGATTTCTCCTGTTCTGAGTCGATCGTGGTTTCTGGATGGAAAAGAGATCTCGGCCTTGAACAAGAAATTTTGATAATAAGAGGATATCTCCGCTGGCGATGTTGAATTTCGTCTAGTGCTCACCCTCACGTTACGAGGCTCGTGTGAAAGATCTATCGGCGATACGGCAACGATATAAGACTCAGGAAGACAGTGCTCGGTTCCCTAGCTTTTGAGGCCGTGCTACGAGCGATTATAGTACACCCGATACTATATAGCTTCATGTCGATATATCATGATAGAGCACAGCAAGGGATGAGGCCTTGACTGTCTAGTTTGGAAGGTTCTCGAACAGATTACCTAGATTCGGACTTGATTAGACAGACAAGCACAAGACTCTATGGCCAAACAGACAGACAGACAGACAGACAGACAGACAGACAGACAGACAGACAGACAGACAGACAGACAGACAGACAGACAGTTAAAGAAGGGAAAGAAAATGGACTTAACCCATCCGCCTCACATGCTCAACCTGTGGTGACACTACCCGCATACCTTTTCGATGCTGGAAACCGCGCTTGGTCTTCATCTCACTGGATGGTGTTGTAAACCAGTGTTGCTTCCTGATTAGGAGACATAGTGACTGTCTTGGACGACAAGGAGATCCCTGGCAATGTATTGATGGCCCAGACCGACCCGCGATGTTGGGGTCTTTTCCCAAGACTCTCAACGCCCTTCTGGGTTCAGTCGATGCTTTTGTCATAGTGACAGAGAGGCCGCAAAATAAATCGGCTCGTGTTTAATGACAAGCCGTGTGCCGGCCAATACTCAGACCTATGCATTGGCATCTCTTGATCAAGTCCGGGGCTGTCATCTCCTTTGTCGTTTTTTCTGGATTATCTGTTGTTCCTCAAATGTTCTTCATAGCGTTTAATGCTTGAGAGATTGCAATACAGCGTTTACTAATCGTGTCATGGCCAGGAAAATGTTCATTGGTGGTTTGAACTGGGAGACTACGGATCGTATGTACTTTCCCTTGGCTGGCTGCGGCTGCTCCTGTCGCCCATAAGTTATCTGACAAGTTCGATTAGAGTCCCTGAAAGATTACTTCTCTCAGTTTGGGGAAGTACAAGAATGCACTGTGATGCGAGATAGTGCTACGGGTCGCTCCAGAGGATTTGGATTTTTGACATTCAGAGACCCGAAGACTGTCAATACCGTCATGGTTAAGGAACACTATTTGGATGGCAAGATTGTAAGAGCCTCCGTCACACATTCCTTCCCGTACTTGTTATAAAGATCCTCAACAGCTGACCATTATGTGGCAGATCGATCCCAAGCGTGCAATCCCACGTGACGAGCAGGAGAAGACCAGTAAAATATTTGTTGGTGGCGTGAGCCAAGAGGCAAACGAACACGACTTCAGAGATTTTTTCACCCAATTTGGGCGTGTGATTGATGCCACCCTGATGATTGACAAGGATACTGGTCGTCCCCGTGGCTTCGGGTTCGTGACCTTTGACAGTGAAGCGGCCGTCGAAGCAGCTCTCTCCCGTCCTCTGGAAATCCTCGGGAAGCCGATTGAGGTGAAGAAAGCTCAACCAAGAGGAAATCTGCGGGATGAAGAAGACCGCCGATTCCGCCGTGGCAGGGAGGGTTTCCGTGACGGTGGCGTCATGGGAAGCGATGGTTCGCAACCACAAGCCGGTGCTCAAGGCCAAGGCAGCATGGCTGGTGGGCTCACCCCCCAGATGATGGCACAGTATTGGCAGAGAATGCAGCAGTACTTTGCCCTGATGCAACAGCAAATGGCCGTTGCTGCGGCTCAAGGTCAAGGCATGGGCGGCATGGGTATGGGCGGCATGAACCCAGCCATGATGCAACAGATGCAGCAAATGAAACAGATGCAGCAAATGCAAATGGGGAACAATCAAGCACCACAAGAGAGTCTTAGCCCTCCGTCGCAGAGCTCAACACCCCAAACAATGGCACCGAACATGATAAATCCAGCCATGATGCAGCAGATGCAGCAGATGCAGCAGTTGCAGAATCAAGGTCAAGGCAGCAGCTCCGGGGGTATGGCCGGTCAGATGGGGGGTGGGGGCAATGGAATGAACATGGCCGCAGCTAATGCCAATGGGAATTACTCGAGTCATCGCGGTGGACCTGGCTACAATGCTCAGGAACAAATCGCCTTTGAGCAACAAAAGTATGAGCAGCAACAAGCACGCCGAGCCATGGAAAACCGGGCTTTCTCTCCCTACCAACAAGGTGGGCCAACTTCTTGGGAAGGTATGTATGATGAAGTACCTCAGCCGAACATCCCGACCGGGCCCCAGGCCATGACCCGCGCGGGGAGCATGGGACGCGGTATGTCTTTTCCTATCCTGCCATCCCCAGGTCCTGCCTGTCATTTGCCTTGTCTGCCCGAATATGCTAACACCGAAACATAAAGGTCCGACTCCGCAACCTCAAAGTGCTGCCCCAGCCAATGCTCCGACAGGCCCGAAGAATGCCGGCAAGCCAGGCGCCAACTATCGCGGTGGAGGCCGTGGAGGTCACCGGGGCTTCCACCCTTACTCGCGCGGTTGAGGACTTGGTTTTACTTCCTTCGGTCCTTGTGCTTTTCCTTTCCACACGCTTGTACATGTGCGCGCAGTCTCCAATGCTACCTCCCCCTTGGGATCTTCATAAATCAGTCAGATTTCTTGCTGGTGCCCTTCCGCCCTTTTTATTCATCGCGACGTAAAGGACCCTCCAGCAGCAATAGTGACCTTTGATACTACAAAAACCTTGAAATATGCATGGCCACGCCCTATTATTGTTGCCTATCTTTCTTCTCCCCCCCCCCTTTTTTTGACGCATCATACTGTATCTCTTACACTCTCTTCCTCTCATTGTTTTTTTTTCTCTCGCGGCGTGTGCGTGCGAACTAATCCAAATTGTGCATGGCATCTGGCATGGATTGCTATGGTCTTTATTCTGTTCTCAACCCTGTCTTGCTATCGCTTTATGTAACAAAACCCTGGGTTTTCGCGGTGGAACGAATCTTTTGTGCGTACCTAAACTATTTAAACTATGCGTAGCCAATTTGGTAGCCTGAGAGCATCAGTCTCGATATCGGAATGGTAGAACAGAGCCGGGCCCAGCTTGGTGGCAGCGTCACCTCTTTGGAGACACAGCCTACATGGAAAGAAGGCAACTCGGAGTATATGCTTAGGGTCCGTGCTTGAGATAGGCAGGACTATCAAGACCGTTTTTTGGATATGGTTCAAATAACAGACCTTTGGGGGGAAAGATGGTGGAGGGAGCTAAACAGCAAGGAAACTAGAAGCAAGGACAAACCACCACCACCACCACCACAACAAAAGTACGCTAAATTTGTTGGAAACTGACACAAAAGAATCTATGTCCAAGAAAGAGTTTTACACCGGGAGAAAAGAATATAACAACAAATCGTAATCACAATTAATCCTACAGGGAGGATCAATAAGCGAACCCATAGCCGGGGGTAGTGGCATGGTGCCTTTCAGGAGCATCATGACTGTCACGGCTCCGCCGACTCTCACGGCTTACAGCACGATCATGTTGCTCTTCAGGGTTATAGCCAGACCCAACTAATCGATCCATACTCCCAGTGGGACTCTGCCGCCCTTTGTGTTCGAACTGGTCACGATAGGGCTCGTAGGGACCGGTGAAATTGAACTTGCTCATCTCGGCGTAATCCTTACGAGGAGGGTTGTCCATCAGGAGAGACTCGCGGGCGTCCAAGGGGGTCAGATCGTCCATGTCGCGATTCATCTTGTCTGTAAGAGCAAATTGAGACGATTAGCATATACGGTTGTAATTAGGCCCAATGTTCGGAATTGTAGCGACTTACCGGCCTCTCGTCTCCGCTTCGCATGAGGATTCTCACGACAGCAGAGGAGAATCGCATTGACACAAATTAGAATGGCCAAGATGCCGGTGAAGCCAGCCTGGACCGCGATGAGAACAATTCCGGTGACCGTCTTGGTTGTCTCTGATAGGCCGAGCTCATCCACAAACACCAAAACAAGAACAACCGACAGAACGCGTACTACTTGCACACTGGTGTTGATCCATTGGCTCGACTTCACAACGTATGGTCGATTCCACAGTAGCATGACCAACATAAGCGCCTCAACGATAAGCTGACCCGCACTTTGCGCCAGCCCATGGCCATTACCTGCCGCGATAATGCACCCCTTAGCGAACATATATACAATCGCGGGTACGAAAATCCACCAATAATCCTTCTTGTAATTGTCGTAGAAAAGACTGTACTTGCGCCAGGTTTCGCTATCATCGTACAAGCGAGATGCGTCGCCTTCAGATTTTCTGAACTTCCGTGCCAGATAAGCAATCCGAAGGCCGAAGAACAGGAGCACAGCTGTGAATACAACCAGAGCAACGGCAGCCAGAATTTTTGCGGCCCAGGAATCTCCGCTGCTAAGTTGGTAGACACACCAGATGACCCAGATCCCATATAGAATCAAGATTAAATTGGTAATTGTCCGCCCGAGAAGACCCCAATAGTCCTTGCGAAAGTTGGAGAGCTTCTGAGGGAAAGACCCATACAAAGCCCATACTTCAAGGATGACCTTAAGGAGCAAAATTCCCACGGTGATGGCGGCAATGAGGATGGCGAAGATAAGCAGCACGGTCATAAAGGTATTCCCCTGCGGCACAGTCAATTGCTCTGCATAGGCCTCGATTCCCGATACCATATGTTGCAATCCACTGCTACTGCTGGTACTGTTGGTGGTACTGTTGGTGGTAGTGGAGTTGGACGTCGTGAGTTCGCGGGCGACGAGGTTGGCAGCACCAACAGTCCAGTCGACAGCACGCTTGGACTTGCTGCTTGAGTTTGACGTGGAGCCGCTTGAATACACCAGAGTGGCGTTTAGGAGATATTCGTAGCTGTTTTCCGTCAGATTTCCGCCAGTTACCCTGCGGAAGCTATCAATGGACTCCTGCATCTGGCCCCACGGGATTAGGCCTGTGCTGAAGGCGAAGTTCTTGGAAAAGCTGCGGTAGACCGTAGGATAATTGACGCTAAGCATACCATTAGTTGCCATGGTGTGGAACCAAGTCATAACATCGCCGAAAGATGGGCTGGATGATGAAGCTCCAGGGTGACCAGCAGCACCTAGAGCGGACAACCCGCTCACGGCTAAGGCCGCCCCCGCTACGCCAGCAGCAGCATACGAGACACCTGCAATCTGCATCGTCTTGCCGTTACTTAACTCTGTTTGGATGCAAGCCAGCTCGTCGTCGTTGTTATCCTTCGAAAGCAATTCGAGCTTCACTTGGCCATCCAGATCCGGAATAGCGAATGCGATGGAGGGAATTTGACTGGCAATGGAATCAGGAACCTGCATCTGTCCCTGGGCTTGAAAGCTGCCGGCCGGCACGGGACACAGGGCTGCCGTGTAATACTCGGTGCCACAGGGGTCGAATGTTTTCGAGTAGAGTTGATTTCCGTACGCATAGATTGTAATTGAGCCAGTAACATTCTGTTCTTTCGCATTGGTACCGCCGATATTATAAACGAGTTCGTTTGTTGATTTGGTGTACGTAACATCAAGATTGTTGACTTCAATGGCCGAATCCGTCAGGCATGTTGACAACCCATTAGTGCTCAATGTGTCCGCAGCGAGCGTCTGAGAAGCCCACAAGCCTAAGGTAGTGAGCGTGATATGTGAAATGAGAGTGGTCCGCATTTTGATTGATAAATAGCACAATTCGTCTGATTCCGGAACTCAAAACGCTAACATCAAGAACCTCTAGTTCCTGCGCTAAGATGGTGGTAATATTGGTGAAGCCAGTCGAGGCGGCAACCATTAAAAAAGATATGTGACGAAGCCGTAATTCGGTCAAATCGCACAGCGATTTGATATGAACGAATGTCCCCGAGGGGTCAACAGGATCAACCTGGACAGAACGGAAGGACAGCAACAAGGACTGAAGATCGGGTCGGCGATGAATGGTGGGATAGGAGTCTTAATGACTAAATGAACAGTAAGACAGTGCCCGAGATCCCACACTTACTAGACCACCTTATCTCTTGCAGGTCAAGCAGTTATGAGATACGTTCACACCGGATAACAAAGGCCGTATTAGCTTGCTAAAGAGATCTCGCAGCACCTCACAAGAGCACTAGCTGAGGTCTGATCAAAACTAGCTTAATTCTTCCGAGGCAGCAGGTGAGAAAGAGTGGTGAGCAGTGGGATGGAGCAAGAGCAAGACAAAGCAAAAGAATGTCCAAAGGGAACTGATTGTCGTCAATGATGACCAAGGCGAAAGCGAACAAAGCGAAAGCAGAAGACGGAGTAAGAAAAAGAGTGCAAAAGAGTGCAAAAGAAAGAGGAAACGTATAGACTAGCAGTAATGAGTGTGTGGGATGGGAAGGTGGGTAAGATGGAGACAAGCAAGCAAACGGTAAAGGGGAGAGAGAGAGGGAGGAGAGGAGGGGGAAGAAAGGAAGAGTAGGAAGAAAGAGAGTAGAGAGATTGCTACAACTCTGATGTTAATTACAGTTTGACTAGACAATCACGTAGTAAACTTTGGTACTGTACACTAGACTCACTGAACTTACGAGTACTACGAGTACTACGAGTAGGTATGTATGTACAGTACTACGGAGTATTGAAGAGAAGCGCACCATTATTAGGTATGTACCTGGTAGTTTCTTACACCGAGATTAGCATGACTGGATATTGAAGCGCCCGAGCGGGCGGAGCGGGATGAGCCACTAGAGCCTGATTAGTATTAGCCAGGGGCTGCAAAGCTGAGATACGGGCTACTGATTGGCTGATGGCAGCCGCCCCCCCACTGTACTGATTCAAGATTAGTCAAACTTCACTCCTGGTTTGTTGGTTCAGGTAATTGAGGTACAGTACCTTACTACTAGGTACTAATTGTCTCAATTTGAAGTTCAGATTGCCGAAGAGTGGCAATGAAATCCTGTAGAATATTTTCAAGGTGATACCTACTGAGTAACATGACTTACTAATAATTAACTTCCTCCATAATGCTAAATATAAATTCTTTCCCGACCCCTCCGCCCCCCACCTCTCTCCCCCTTTCTCCTTCTCTCTCCCCTCTTCCTTTTAACACAATACCAACCACGGTTCCTGGTTGGTGTCAGTGACGGCTCGGGAACGGACCCAATTGTTCAGCCCGTTGCTGGCACTGCCAATTGGTGCCCATCCCGGTCTAGACTCTAGACTCTTTCCAGACCACTCCTCTCACTTATTAGCGTAATTACAGACATTGGATAGTTAGGTGACGATAGGTCATCATTACTGGGGGCTATCGATATGCAACTCTTTGCTAATAGAAGGAAGGTATTCTCTGCCCACGTTGACTTAACCGCGAGAGAAGGCATAGAGCATAAAGAGCATAAAGAGGGTAGAGAAGAAAAATAAAGGGGGGGGAAGGTGAATCAAGAACCACTTGACCACCTAACAAAGAGAAGACACTCATAAATAGTTAGTAGACTACGGTGACTACCTCAGGTACTCCGTACTGCCGAGTCGAAAGACAACCAGCCAAATAAACCCCAACCAACCAACCAACAACCAACCAACCAACAACCAACCAACCAACAACCAACCAACCAACAACCAACCTCTCTCACTTTTCTTGGACAAACAAAGAAACAATGAATGCCTCCAGGCTGCCAAAAAAAAAAAAAAACAAAAAAAAAACAGACTACATTTCTATTGTTTCACTTCTAATTAATATTTTACCGCCCAGCCCCACCGTCGCCCCAGTGTCCCGGACAATGAGCCAAACGTACTCCGTAGACAGCCAGACTTAGGCCACACCCGTCCCACGCATTTCGGCGACAAACCTCCGCAGGAAAACAAATTAATGTACTCCGTACNGTACCTAGTAAACTCAGGTAGTGACGACTTTGTTACTTCCTAGTCTACCAGACAAGGACTCAAAGCAGACCAGGCAGAAT